GATTTGGCTATGATATCGTGTAAAGACCCGGGGTTCATTCTAAAAGGTCAACATGATAAGAGTAACTCAGATCTTAATATAGCATTGTATTTAATTACTTCACTTGGTTCACTATTTTCCGGATATATAAGGCTTGCCTTCAAGTTTGAGAGGATATATATCTTATTCAATTTGCTCTTCCTTCTAGACTAATGATATTTGTTTAGATTGGTTTCAATCTAAGACCAAATTAAACCAAAACAAATTAGACTTAATCATATTAGACTTACATAGTTGTAAAATACACACCCACCAGATCAGACTTCTTAAACAAATTAGGGGATGCAGATTATTGTCTTCTTGAGAAGATTTCTACACGTAGTTGAAAAACATCCCAAAAGACCTAGATTTAGGGGATGCAAATTAATGTTTTCTTGAGAAGATTTCTAAACATAGTTAAAAAACATCCCAAACGCCCAAGATTTACTGATTTAGGGGATGCAGATTATTTTTTTCTTGTTAGGATTTCAACACATCATTGTTTTTCTGGAATCTTTCCATCATTTGCAATGGAGCCAAAGATTCATTATTTTTTGGCTTGAGATTATGATGGAATAAAGCAAAATGGCTCACTAAAATGTCCGCGCTTCTTTGTTATGAAGCAGCAGTCAGTCCATGCAATTTTTGACGGGATTTTCACTATGGATCATCCGAAAACAGTCTCTCTGTTAGGAATGGACTCGGGCCGGTTCGGGCCCGGTTCGGGCCTGGGCCCGGCCGGGCCTCGGTTCTAGGAAGGCAGGCCCGGAACCGGCCCGGATAACCCCGGGTCCGGTTCGGTTCGGGTCACCCGCCCGGTTCATGGGCCGGGCCGCCCGGCGGGCCAGGCCGGGCCTATTTAAATTTTTTTTTTTAATTATTATATAATTAGAATAAATCTTATTACAATTACAATATATTATATTCGAATTGAAGTATATTTATTTCAAATAAGAAGTACAATTGAGAATTAGGATGAATTTAAAAAATGTAATACATTTTGTAATAAAAAATCAATCGGACTCTCCGCCTTCGGTTGTTTCCTCCATAAAGTGGCGGGAGGGAGTGATGGTAATTTCTTGAGTTCTTCGTTGGGCCTTCAACCAATCGTGAAAGCAAACTAGTGTCTCAAGAGAGCTCGGGCTCAACCTCGTTCTAAAATCGGTTAGGACGTTGCCGGCCGCACTGAATTCTTGTTCCACGGCAACGGTTGATATCGGCATTGCTAGTACTTGCTTAGCCATCTTTGATAAAATCGGGAATGTTCTTTCATTTTCCTTCCACCACTTAAGAACGTCAAAGTCATCACCAACTTCATAATCAACATTCAATGTTAGATACAAAGAAAGCTCGTTACCTGAGCTTTGTTCAGTAGCGGGAGTTGCTCTACTTTTTTTCAAAAGAGAACCAAAAGCGGATTTTAAAAGTGATTTTCCTTTAGATGAAGAAGATGCTCGTTGCATGGGAGGGGGTGCATTACCATATTGTGCATGAAATTCATTATACAATTGATGAAATAAATTACTAACCTCGTTGAATTCTTGTTTAGGGTCGATGGGATTATCATCGAACTCTTGAGTTGGAAAAAAAGAAGCATAATAGTAATCTATACAATTTGCCAAGTAAGGAAGTTTATAACGAGGATCAAGAACAAATGCAATACCATATATATGCGGAATATGTGAATAATATTTTAAAAACTTTTGTTTCATGAAATCACAAAAATAACTAACGTAAGCGGCGTCGGAAAATTCACAAAAAGCGCCGGCGAGATTAACAGCTTCAACAAAAAATTCGTTTGCGGTAGGTTTATAAACATGACTAAAAGTTAGAGTTGCGTTATTAAAATATGCCAAAACATTAACAATTTTTTCACAAGTGTCGATGTCATCCGGGTTTATAATATAGTTACAAGTTTGTCTTAAAAAAGCTGGAAAATGATCTTTATATCTAACAAGTACTTGAATTAAATTATAAGTACTATTCCAACGAATAGACAAATCTTTAGGAAAAGCACAATAATTCACGCGTCTATCCTTCAAATATTGCCGCCATTGCATTTTTAGTGGAGTGTTAGCCCAAATCAATTTAATTCCCCCCTTCACTACCTCCAAAGCATTTCCTAATGCCGCTAAGCCATCTTGTACACACAAATTTAGAATATGACATGCACAACGTTGATGAAAAAATCTACCCATCAATGTAGAAGCACCACACAATTCACGTAATCTAGGTATAGCAGCAGTATTATTACTAGCATTATCAAAACCTACAGCAAACACCTTATCAATCAAATTATACTCAATTAAAATACGTTCAATGAGAATATAAATATTATCAGCAGTGTGACGATCATTGAATTCACGAAAAGCAAGAACACGTTTATGCATATTCCAATCATCATCAATATAATGTGCAGTTAGACCCAAATAATATAAATAATGATAAGTATCCTCCCATATATCGCTACAAATACTAACACGTCCATCAAAGTTTGCGAAAAATATTTGTAATTTTTCTTTTTCCAAGTTATATTGCCTTATAACTTCTTTTTTAATCGTTTTGCGACTATAATTTCTAAATTGAGGATTTAAAGTACCTTGAGCATAATCTCTTAAAGCAAGACTTTCGGAAAAAATAAAGGGTAAATTTTCTTCAACAATTAAATGAGACATACCAGTCAAATGTTTTTTATCATCATAGGAAAAATTACCAAAGGGTTGAGAATTTGCAAACCTTGATATTTGTGTTTGCTTCCCCTTTCATTTGTCTATTTTCGCATACTCCACAACGTGGGTGGACTGAAGATGCCTTTTGAGACTCCCGTATCCGCCAGAAATTCCCAAGCTAAACTCTTTCTTGCAATGATTGCAACTTGCGTACCATTTTTCGGTTTTTTCGTCTTTCCTTTTTGTAAAATTGTTTTCAATAATAGCAGATTTAGATTTCTTACCAATTTTGGTTGTAGTCGTTGAAGGGCCCTCGTCCTCTTCCTCATCATCCGGAGTCCCGTCGCCCCCCGCGTCCTCCTCCCCATCGTCATCCTCGACCTCCTCTTCATCGATGGTTGTCGGGAATTGTTGTTCTTGTGCAAAACGTGGATCATTTTGGGACAATAGGTGTTGTAGTTCCTCGTCGGACATCATCATACCATCTCGCCGTTGGTAATCCGTTTCAAAATCATCTCGACTTTGAAAAGAAGACTCGGCCCGCGCTTTACCTTTGCCTTTTCGTGAAGTAGATCGAGTCGATGCAATCTCCCTCTTGCGGTTGCGTTGGAGATTACCCACATCTACAGAATGTCTACCTCGCTCCATATTTAAAATTGAACAAATATTAGCACTTAACTAATATGAGAAATGTAAAAATTAACTAGTTTTGTTATTTTAATGAGATATGTAGCAATTAACTAATATGAGAAATGTAAAAATTAACTAGTTTTTTTTACTTTAATGAGATATGTAGCAATTAACTAATATGAGAAATGTAAAATTGTAGCAATTAACTAATTAACTAATATGAGAAATGTAAAATTGTAGCAATTAACTAATATGAGAAATGTAAAATTGTAGCAATTAACTAATATGAGAAATGTAAAATTGTAGCAATTAACTAATTAACTAATATGAGAAATGTAAAATTGTAGCAATTAACTAATATGAGAAATGTAAAATTGTAGCAATTAACTAATATGAGAAATGTAAAATTGTAGCAATTAACTAATTAACTAATATGAGAAATGTAACAATTAAGTAGTTTAACTAATATTAATATGACAAATGAAACAATTAAGTAATTAAATAGATAAACGAGAAGTGTATATATAAATCAAATGTATAACTATATATAGTATATATAAATATATCATGTGTAAATATATTATAAGTAATATATAATATAATGTATAACTATATTCTAATTAATATATAATATAATGTATAACTATATATAGTATATATAAATATATAATGTGTAAATATATTATAAGTAATATATAATATATATGTATAACAATATATAGTATATAATATAATGCGTAAAGAATTATAATATGAATGTGTATAAGTATATATTTATAAGTAGATAATTAATATTATAATATATAAGTAGATATAATAATTATATAAATTATATATATGTAGAAAGAATTTGGAGAAGATGAAGAATGAAGATGATTGAATATGAGAGATTAAGAGAATAGAGAATTTAGATTTTAGAGAGTAGAAAGAGTTGTAGGTGTAAAAAATGTATAGAAAATAGGAGTATAAATAGGTTTTTTTTTGTATACCCCACCCCCACCCCCACCCCACCCCCCTAACCCCCCAGACCCCCCCTCCTATGCTCCCAACGGCTATAGAGCCGTTTGGGAGGTCTCCCAACGGCTAGTAGAGCCTTCAAATTTTTAAAAAAAAAAATTTTTTTTTGTGACCGTTGAGGCCCGGACCGGGCCGGTTCACCAAATTATAAGCCCGGGCCCGAACCGCTACATGACCGGGCCGGGTGGCCCGAACCGTGACCTAACCAACAAACCGGGCCGGTCCGGGCCCGCACAGTAGCGGGCCGGTCCGGTTCCGGGCCGGTTGGCCCGGCCCGAGTCCACCACTACTCTCTGTGCTTTAGTACAGAGATAAGACTGCGTACATCCGACCCCCCCTTAACCCACCGTAGGTGGGAGCCTTTGCGGCACTGGGTAAATGAAAATGAAATGATGATGAAATGAGATTGTTTTTCTGGAATCAATGAATACTCTGAAGTCATTTTATGGTTTAATAATATGCATGGAATCATCAAGGTTACAGCCAATACCCTATCTTAATGTAATCTACTATTGACTTTTTAAATATTTAAACTCATCTATCGGTGGACTTTGTTCAAATCTACTCCAAAAGTCTAATCCAACTCAATTAACCATTTTCTTACTCATCTTATATGACTTAATAAGAGGTATCAATTCATCAAACTCGTAACTTATTTACGAGTATCTCTTATGCAAGTGTGTTTCATTTTTGGCTCATAAAGGTATGAATCTATTTGAGTCAAATTGATCAAACCTATCCTTGAAATCTGATCCAACCCAATTAACACTATATTCTTATTTTTATTCATGACTCAATAAGATATATTAAAAATTAAATGTCACAACTAACACATTGTCTGAATAGTTTTCAACATACGAACACATATAGTACACCCAAATCTAAGATTGATTAGGACGAGCAAGCTGAGCTAAGCTGCAGGTTCATATCTGCAAACACAATCATAAATTTTGCCGTTGATCAACCTCTCTGCTAGTCGCTGATTCTTCACCATGGCGAGCTGCATTCATGCACACAATCATCATTTCAGCTTTCACGAATTGAAGAGAACCAAATACACCCACACACTAATTAAATAAAGGATTCATACTCTACTTTACCTTTAGAGCATCACATTTGAACTTGGCATTAAAGTTGGTATGCAAAGCTCGTCCCATTCCTTCCAAAATTATCTGTGTGACATTACAAATTAGGCAAGCCAAAGAAATATGCTTAAGATGGGTGTAATAAAAATAATCAAAATAGTGTAGAAACTAAAAAAAAAAACTCCTTTATTACATACCAAATCAGCATCCTTGGCAGCAGCAGCCAACTCAGAGCTAACCTGTCTCAAGTCTATACATGGACTCCCACATCCATTCTCAACAACCATTAAAGGTACTGACAAAGGACGGCTGCCTCCTTCTCCTTTGCGCCCATCATCATCATCATCGTCTTGGCTGTTAATCATTGCATCCACAAGAAGCCCACCTGCTTCTGCAGCTCCTCTCAAAATTCCACAATGCTAGTGCCCAACCAGAACAGTTAATTAGTTTCTAGAGGCAATTATTGTTACCCTTTTATACTAGGTCATAGTTTATTTGTCTAACCTCATGCTTTTAAGTTAAACAAATGCTGTACTATCGTATAATGTTGTACTATCGTATAAATTATCCGTTTTTAAAAGTCAAAGCACTTCACCTTCATCATTATAAGTTATGTTTTCTACTCACTATTCTTCTATCGTACTTGCAGAAGAAATGTCTGAGGGTAGCAAATGCGAATGAATCAGAGCAACAATTAAGGTTTATAATGATAGTGTCTGTGGGAGTAACACTGTTTACTTTTAAGAAAAGCTAGTTTGGAAAATTTGCATTAGATTAGATGGACAAATGAGATAAATATTGATGGACATGGGAAATTGTGAAATAACCAAACCTCAAGAAGTAACTAATTGACTTTTGAAATCACAAGATTGGCTAGTAATTATGACTTAAAAATAGACTAGTAGACTAGTAGTAAACTAGTAAGTTTCACCAGATTCTATTTCACACTAATAGATATAAAAGCATCTTTAACTAAAAAATAAAAACAATAATTGTGTACCTTGGCAGCTTCAGCAACAATATCAGGTAACTCCATAGCAGTAACATCATTTAATGCAGGGAGTGAGTTCGCTACCAGCACAACCTAACGCAGAATGACAGAACAATATATATAAGTTTGTACAAAATCTGGTATGAGGTCACAATATATTCAATTGAGATCAACCTTTCCCAGATTTAATCCTAGGACAAAAAAAAGCACAAGCATTTGAAATGAAATACTTACTTCAGTTCCACGCCTAAGAAGTTCTCGTGCAAGTGGAAGCATTCCGAGAACAATATCAGCACCTGAGTTGTCCACAAAAAGCAAAGCCCTTTTATGAGGAGGCTGTGGCAGTTTCTTCTCTCCACACCCTAACATTCTCTCCTTGAAAGCATCAAAATCATCCACCTGGAGGGTGTTCATGATGGTATCTAATATCACATTCAGAATTGTTGTGTGTATGAATGCACATTAAAAGCATCAAAATCTCCTTGTGTGTATCTAATGTTCATGATGCACATTAAAAGTAGTGCTCCCATGAAAAGTAATAATCACTTGAAAATGGATGAATTAGATGGATTCTTAATCAAAAGACACTGAGGTAAAATTAAGTGCAAATGTTTATAGTACAAAGTAGATCGTCTATAGATAAAAGTTCATTATAAATGCTAAATAAGATTTATCATACTTTAAAAAAACTTATGCACTTTCTATTTTGTATTATTATGCACGTTTTGCTCTAGATATACACTTTTTGTATACTATGATACACTTTTGTTACAATGTTTTCATTTAAAATCCTTCACAATTAATAAAATCTCATCGCATTTTTTACTTAAAATTTGACCTCTTCCACCCGTTTTTTCATATCAATTGCTTATATCAATTCTTATTATTCACATAGGAAGCACTTTTTATTTGAACCAAATTTTATGCATGTGTGTGTGTATGTACCTTTTAGACGAGTTGAGAGATGTGGAGAAGAGGCGGGGAGGAAAGGGAGAGAAAAATCCAAATATACTTAGATTAGAGGACTTAGAACCTATATGCTTCTTCTTGGGTTGGATGAGAATATGACTTTAGAGAGAGCAAAGTGCAGGGCACATATTCGTGAGGACGATCAATCTCTTTTCTCTTTTCTCTCCCTCGTTTTCTTTTATCTTTTATCTTCTTTATCTTTCTATGTTCCTGTGTTATTTTTATCTCTTATCTTTCTAATGTTCTTTTATCTTTTTATCTATCTTATGTTCTTATGTTATTTTTATCATATATTTATATTTACCTTATTCATTTTATCTTCTTCATCATCATCATCATTACCCCAGTGCCGCAAAGGCTCCCATCTACGGTGGGGTAAGGAAGGTCGGATGTATGCAGTCTTACCCCTGTACTAAAGCACAGATAGACTGTTTCCGAATAACTCATGGTGAAAATCACGTCGAAAAATACATGGACTGATTGTTGCTTCACAATAAAGAAGCGCAGACAGTTTAGTGAGACATTTTTTTTTATTCCATCATATTCTCAAGCCAAAAAATAGTGAATCCATTTTATCTTAACTTATCTTTTTATTTTTCTTTTGTTGGCTTTGACTGATATCATGGATCGATTCATGTTAGCCAACCGCAAAATCTTTTGGGAATAAGACTTGGATGTTGTTGTGTGTGTATGTATGCATACATATATAATTGTGTTTACTTACCCGCCATGGTCTCTGCATCTTGTTGCGGCTCATTCTATATATTTCAATGATTGTTCCTTTGTGATAAAGATCAACACAAGCACGTGATCCCCAATCAAAGATGTTTGCAGCAAGCACACCTTCAATTAGGGTAAGTAGTCTGGTTTCCTGGAAGAACAACAAAATACCCAATAGCAGATGAAGATAATGGATAGAAAGGATCTTCATTGCTTCCTAGATATATAAATATAAGTACAAAGGGATTCAATAGAAACACATGATATCTCATAGACCATGTTCCTAGTCGTCATTTCACGAACATATTTCCTTTTAACATATTTCCTTTTAACACATACCTCACTCATGCTGTCAAGCTCCATCAGAAGATCAGGTAAAACGGCAAGTGATGCTTCATTCTCCCTGATTATAATATAGAAGGCCAGGTGCAAGGGATCATTTTCTGTGAAAAATGCACCTAATAATAGTTCACCTTTCCTATATTCATACCTTTGTTTAATGCTTCTGTAGGCATCGAAGAAATGAAACTCTCTCAGGCACTCTTCTCGCAATTCCAAAAGGTTGGCCAGTCCTAGCTTACCATATGCAGAAGGCTCCTCCATCAACCTGTTAACCAACTTTTATAACAGAGATATCTAGCAGAAAAAATTTGCAGAACTCACTGTTTATTGAGACATGGAAGAAATGTATATGCAAAATTCCATAACAATGAAGCATTAACTGAATAATAAAGAGCATTGTCTGTGGAAAGAACACATAAAACATATGGTCTATTAGATACGGGGGACAAGTAACGACTTGATGAATAGCTAAAACATATGTACCTTGCCAAATGTGCGGAAAAAGCACGTGCAAATGCATCGCCCCTTCTTTTGGAATCTTCAGTGCCACCCTCACTTGCCACTGCCTGAGTATATTTAGATAACACCAAACTGATTTAGGTTTACAATAAGTCAATAATATCGAAATGCATATCTTGTCACATAAAAGAGATGAAGGCCACAAGAACAAAAATAAAGGCTTGAGCCCCTGATAACCATATTCTTAAACCAAACAGTGCTATCATGTACCTTATCAACGAGGTCTGGCAGATGTTCAGATAATACAGTCAACCAGTACCTAAAACAATGAACATTGAAAGAAAAAATTATGTGAAGAGAACTTAATTTGTCTCACTAATATCATTTCCAGTCCATTGAAGATGCATATCATGGTTGTACACCAAACTTTAAGTTAAGCCAAGACTAAGTAACATGAAGTTGATTATGGGTTACTATGACGTATAATTGTAAACCACAACCATTCGCTTTAGCAAAAACTGTCACTATAAAACTTAGGCAAAAAGAACTCACTCTAGCTCACTGCGATCCGAGAGGTCTACAGTGTTAGGCTCATATCTGTAAAGAAGAAGAAAATGTTCAAACTTAGTACAAAATATATTCATAAAAGTGCTCTTAAATAAAAGAAAAAGAGTAATTGCTTCCTTAAGAAAACATATTTAAGTTTGTCAAAAACATCAAAAAGAAAGAAAGAAAAATGAACAAATAACACTAGCAAGGTGGACACAATAAGAAGTGTCTAGGTTTGCGTTCAACAAGAACTAGATACGAAGTGCCAGATAGCATTACTTTGTTACTCACTATGAACGCCATGTATTCTCTAACCAAGAATCAGTTAATCTCATTAGTAATGGATAAAGGTACATATCATCAGTATACTCAGATGTTTCTCAAGTTTTTAGAGAATTGCAGTAAAAGAACTGCATGTTTATTCAACAGACTAAAATTACTTTTGAAGGATAAGGCGTGAGATGCAAAAATGGAAAAGAAATAATGGACACTCATCGTAATAATGGCAAGAAGTCAAGTAGCACGAGAAACTGAATATAAATGATGGTGTAATTAATGGGATGAGGCTTTAAAGAAATTTGAGATGATTCCATGAATCAAGTTGCAGTGTTGGCTTACATTTTTGGGTCAGCCAAGATTGGAAAAACCTCCAAGGTTGGGACAAGATGAAGGACACCAACATTTAATTCGCTCGCATCAGGGCGAAGAGCTCCTTTAGATGATGGAGCTTCAAAGCCTCCAAGCCCTGTAGTTCCTGGTGGAGCCATCGGAACAGGAGCAATAATTTCAGTTCCCTTCTGAACAAATTTTTCCATCCACGATATCTGCAATCAAAACAAGCAAATTATTCCAGCTCATATGCTTCAAAAAGGAAATACTTAGATGGATCTGATCTACTGCTAAAGAGACCTAGGTCTACAAGCAAACTATAACAGTATAACCTAAACAATTTGGGTATTAAAAGATCGGCATTTAAAACAAATTGGGTGTTAGGAAACAGGTGCTTTTCTCGGAATTCATTCACGCATTAAACGTAACCTCATAACTACTCAACATTTATTTTAGATATTTGATCTGTGTAGTTGGTTGTTAATGCTTTGGTTATATCGCCTTCTTGGGTTTGTATTATTGGACATAATTTCCCACTTTATCCTTAATTCTTTGTAATAAACCATAAACCTATCTTCACCGTTTTAATCTTTAAAAACATAGTTTTGGACATAACAAATGTCACACCAAATAAACTTTTTGCAGATCAGAAGAAATATAATACTGCATACTACACAATTACACAAATAATATGCACTAACACTGTCCTATGTTGCATCAGTTAGTAAGTGAAGGAAATAAGGAATCACTTTGATCATGCCACAATGCCCCTCTCAATAATTATATATTTCTTTCTTTAAAAAGCAGCTCCAGCTGGTTATCACTGGTATTGAAAATCATAAGTAGTATAAAGCAGATATGCCTAACTTTAGCTACTTACTCTATCCATAAGCAGACTTCGAAAATCAACAATTATGGGAAAATTAGTCTTTGTATCCCATGTTTTATTGCAAATTTGACTTTCACCCTAAGTTTTCTTTTCTTCAAGCACGCACCCCAGATCACTTCAGAGTTGATGATTTCTAGTAGACTGCACCCCATTTGTTAACACACATAAATGTGCACCCCATTCTACGGTGCATGCTCAAAGAAGATAAATTATGAGATGAAAGTCAAATATTAGGGTCAAACATGGAGCGCAGAGGTCAATTTTCCCTAGGGTTAGAAAGATGTTATAAAAGCATTCATGTAAAAGCAACCTCCAAATCATGGAAAAAGATTGATATTGAAAAAGTACTCTACACTACTCGTGAAGAAGAGTGTATTCTCACGTTAATAAAATATTAAAGACGGGATAAGCACATCTGAAAGTGACAAAGGATTTTTGTCATAATGACATTCAATGCCATGCATATACTAATACCATCCTTGTTAACAATTACACCCATATCTATCTACATTAGTTCAAATATACTTCATAGAGATGCTTACCTTCTCATTCAAATCCCCTAGTGGTGGACCATGAATATTCCCCCCCAGATACGGTGCACCCATTGGGAACCTTTCAACCAACTGGTGGACCATTAGGTCATCCAAACCATGTTTTTCATAGCTCATAAATGCACCTAAAGCACCCAGAAAGCCTTCATGTCGTAAAAACATAGCTTTAGCATCACCCTTGGACCTAATCAAAACATATAGTGGTGAGGGGTGGAAATAAAAAAGAAGACAGTAGAAGAGAGATACTTGAAAAATAACTCCAAAATGATGAGGAATAGAAGTACAACTCTTCAGTCAACTACATGTCATTCTCACCAGAAATGAACCGCAAACGAAATTGTGTCCATAGTGTATGCATGACCACGTATAAAAAAACCTCCAAAAAATATTCGCTTGAGACCATAACGCAGGGCATTCAAATAAGATATCTACAATATAGGAAAGTCAAGGCCCTTGTGTAAGTAGCATATAGCAAATTAAAAACAAAATAGGTAAAACCAATATGTGTGCACTATAATCAATTAATCATTGGAATCAACCTTTGCCCACTTCTCACTGTAAAGGTAAACGTAGAAGTACATGGAATTTTAGAGTTAATATTATTTATGTCACTGCCTTGTGTTTCTTTCCATTTCTAGTCCTCTAATCAAAGTTGATCACTTGAATTGGTCCACTGGTGAGTGAAAATGTTCAACTTTTAAGAATTAGTTATCTGGATCCCTGAACTGCACTCATTTAAGATTAAAAGTGAGTGTGATACGTTCTTAATAGCCAAGTGACTAAACCTGTTTGACTTAACTAGCAGACTGAAAAAGAAAAAATGCAATAGTTAAGGGAATAAATTGGAATAATATTCAACATTATAGTGCAGGGAAATATATTGCCATTAATCTGTACAACTTTAATACTACCAAGCATCCTCCCATAATTTTTCTAACTGGAAGAACATTCTGTTGAACAATCGTTTCCCAATATTAATTATATTACTCCCTACCTCATATTTTTTCCCATAAAGCACATATATTTATGCACCTGTACCTACTACCTGATCTAGATGCACTCTTGTAACCATATACTGCTAGGTGACTGGTGACACAAGTAGGGTGCTATGAATTTGATATGAAGCAAAATCTGGGCTTGGAAGAACAGGGGCAGAAGCCTCCGTGGGTTTACTGAAGGTGGGGACGGGCTTGAGCCCACCTTCGTGGGCTGATTGCGGGATGCTTAATTAATATTTATTCTTTTTAATTATCCTGATTTGTTTCCTATTATGAGTTAATTAGAATCTCTATTATTTGTTTCCTATTTAAAGTTGATTAGGATCTCTATTATTCTGTTTCCTAGTTGGAGTTGATTAGGATCTTTATTATTTTGTTTCCGAGTTGGAGTTGATTAGGATTTCTAGGATTTTGTTTCCTAGTTTAAGAATTAGTGGATGGGTATTTAAACCCCTTGTTAGGATTCATTCATGCTCATCTTGGAATAAAATTGGTTTTAGCCTTTTGGCTCTGGGCAACGGTATTTTTATCGTTGATTATCTGGGCAACGGTTCACCCCGTTGATTTTATTTTTCTGTTACACAACAGAATTGGATAAAGAATTAAAGATGAGTTACTCAGTTAATCTCTCCATAATGTTCTATTTTCCATGTTACTCAGTTCCATAACTGGCTTCTATACATAACTTTCCATGATATATAAATTTTCTATTTCGAATAGTTCCTTCTCCAGATAGCTTTAAATGCATATTTTCATAGCATGAAATTAAATAGAATAAATCGTATTTTCATTGCATAGCCAGGACCCCAAAAATTTGGATTTGGGATAGGCTGGAATAATTCATTCATATAGATCGATACACTAATAGTTTAATAGTTTTACACATAAACAAAGGCTTGAGTCACACTAATAGCCCTTTTTACTGGCATTCCTGCAACTACTCACTCGATATTGAGGCAAAAAATGGTTGGTGTTTTGATTGAAAAGTACCTGGCCAATATTATATGAAATCATACGCAAGAGAGACAAAGATATATCTTCAGGTCTGTAATCTTCAAGCTCCTTGTTTTCTGAAATGGCTTTGCCAAAACTTGAAGCAATTGTTGAAGCTGACAGACCGATCTATAAGAAAATTAAGAATTTAACCGCATGATCAAACACATAAAATTGCAAAGAGGACTTTGGGTAAAAGAAAGCTGGTCTTTCAAAAAGAGGATATCCCTATTCAACATTGTAGGCCACCCTTACATACCTTTGAGTAATCCATTCCACCATAGATATCACCAACAAGCATATCTATGGTTCTGTTGTCTCCACGCTGACTCAGCTCCAGCAATTCATCAAAACTATTTTCAAAATCAAATAAGAAATCAAATGACTAACAGTAAAACTGAACTCTTTAGTACTATGAAGTATGAAGAATCAAGCAGAATCTTGGCACCTCTTGCACTTTGTTAATAGTCTTCCCAATCCCCAATATGTGCCACCACCAACATTTGTTCCACTGACCCTCTGAAACTTCCCTTCCCCATCAACCTATGGTAGTTATTGTTATTATTATTTTTATTACTATTAAAATTACTATTTTTTCAATTAATCAATGGTTAAACAATCCATTAAATCAGGAATCAATCCAACAACTGAGATAATACCTTGATCATACTAACACCAGAACCAATATTGACGAGAAGATAGGGAAACAAATCATTCTGATCTATCTGCACAAACTCTTTATGACCTTCCATATGTGTAAACGCTTCATGACGAATAGCCTATTCAATCATAAAAGTTATCCCAACAATCAACAAATAATAGCTAACGGTCATGTATATTCTGCAGAAAATATGAAGTTCCCTCAATCACTATTTACTTTTCCTCATTCCACCTTATTAGATTCCAACAAAACACTCAGACTTAATAACTCTTTATGTTCAGAAAGTGTTCTTATCTGCGCAAGCTTGGAGTCTACTGAATATTCAATTCATATTCGCACCATCCACACCACAACTATAGGACAAGTTAGCATGTCGTGTTGAACTAAAATGTACCTTGAGTAGGAAGTTCGCTCCAGCTACAAGGCAATTCATTTCATCTTCTTTTTCTATGCTCACTCCAAGCCTTTCCTTGAAAAGATCAGCAAACTTGTATGCCCCGCCACCTGTAGCCTTCTCGAGAACTCTAATAGTCAATAAAAGGATGCAGGAACATTTGGCATATTTACTGTTTTAATGAAGCGAAAAGGTAAAACTCTGCAGGAAAGTTTATCTTTAAGAGTCTTGCATGTGCCAGATTACTAACCTTAGCTGCTATGTTTTACTATTTACAATGAATAAATGTTGTAGCGTAATAAACTTCAGAGTTCAGAACTCCCACTAGAAGATTGCAGATTGTATCAATGTTAAGGGATTTATTCAAGGTGTCTGGTTCCAGTAAAGAATGATATGGTGACAACTTAATGCACCACATATTTGCAAGGTAGATTGACAAATATCTAAACTAGTGGTCTTCAATTTCTTCTTTGTTTCAATACTAATTTAAAAAATAAAAAAAACTACAGAAGTTGACAGAAATTTTTTCCTTAAAAAGACCTTAATGCTTGATATGTGAGTATGACTAACATACTTATAACCTTTCTATTGTTCCACTCCATTTACCACATAAAGCACTAAAACCTAAAAATAAAAGATATGTCAATCAACTCGCCTGTTTCCTCCAATATTACTGCAATAACACTCATGGACTAATTTTTAAATATTCCAAAAAATTACTATACATTTCACTTTTTATAGGTCATTGTGAGTGATTTTAATATGTCAGTGACACACCAACAGTGATGGTGATGAGGTCAAACGCTGCCACTGTCCCACATTTCACTGTGACTGCTGCAGGCGAATTCCATCGACTTTTTCTGGCAACTTTTCAGGTCATTTTTTGCAGAAAATCCAACTGTTGTCAGTAAGGCTGGGCAGTTTGGCGGATGTCGGTAGGAAGAAGATTTTTGAATACATTTAGGGTTTTGAGGTTAGTCACTATTGTGGAAAAAGTTTAAAAGCATCTCTAGAAGTATTAGTTGTGCCATTCTTTCTAATTATTTTACCTTGATTATTGTATTCTCATTGTGAGGAGCCTCTGAACGCCAACGGGGAGTATCCAACCCTATTTACACAGAAAACATATACAAAAAGTGTCGACATGCATGCCAATAAAAGCAGTTTGAACTGTTGCAATCTCGAATGAAATATGAAAAGGATCCAACTAATATATACTACCTCCGTCCCGCTATGATTGTCCCATTTTACCTTATCGGTCTGTCTCAATAAGATTGTCCCATACCAAATTTGGTAAAGTTTGTGTGCCTCTAAATCATTCTTACTTTATTCTTACTTTATCAATTCAATATCAACCACATAAACCACTTTTTATTAATTTGTGTGTCACTTCCTTTTGTCCCATTGTTAGCGGGACGGAGGGAGTAGTTTCCAAAAAAGAATCTTATATAAAATATGAAAATGACCTATAATTTCATATAAAATATTTAAAAACAGCAAGTTAATAGATAGTGCATTAGGTTAAGGCCATGAACTATACCACCACAATGTAGCTGTTTGGAAGAGATAAAATCCATGCACTCATTAATCTTTGATGTCTCAAATTTCACGAAATGAAGCCTTCCTCCAAGGATGGGATAGGTCCTTCTGTTACCATTAGAAACACCAAACCTCTCCTTGACTTTCCTCTTTCTCTTGTCATCCACTTGACAACCCTCGTGTCTTGAAAAGTACACCAGCTTGATAAGAGAACCTACATAGGTCCATTCAAATCACCAGGCACACACATTGTGAAAAGGAAAAACTGGGAAGAATGTAAAAATTGTTCCATGAACAAGCACATACAACAACATTACCCCAGTGCCAAAGAGGCTCCCACCTACAGTGGGGTAAGGGGGGTCGGATGTACGCAGATAGTTTAATGAGTCATTTTGCTTTATTCCATCATATTCCCAAGCCAAAAAATAGTGAGTCTTTGGCTCCACTGGAAATGATGGAAATCCATGAACAAGCACATGTGTATAGAAAAGCATGATCATTACAGAAAGTAAAAACGGTTTAAAAAAATTATCATTGGGAGTGAGAATCCTCCAAATAAGAAGTCACGGGTTCAATCCCTTTCCTCTTAGCCCAACACACACAAAACTGGAAGATGCTTATGATGGGACATAAAAGAAGGGACAAGCGTGCATGAAAGAGTAGCTCATATCTATAAAAAGAAATGAGATTAAAAGAAAAGGTGGGGATGGGCATAGAGAAAAGGAAGAAGGGGATTGACATAAGAAGAAGAAGAAGAAGAAAACAAGTTGACCTCCAATGTCCAAAGCTAAATGGAATATATCATCTGACTGGTTAGGCAACAGAATTGTAGGATCCCTTTCCTCAAAATTCCCCTGAATTGCAGCTCCACTAAGGTCAAGCTGAGGACGAGATGTAGACCGATTCATTTGATCCTTCTCTTTCTCTACTTCTTCCCTCCCTAAGGCACCAATACTATCCTTCTTAGTAATCTGCTCCTCATATATATCGTCAACTCCAAGGTCCTCTGTAGTTACACTTGCCATTAATCGCCCAATTCCCCTCTTTCCACCTGCTTCCTAACCATAAACGTTTCAGTTCATTCAAAATAGTCTACTTTGCTTAGCTCATTATTTCGTCCCTGCCAGCCCAGCAAAAGATAAAAATGAACAAATAATAAATAAAGTGATCCAAGGCCGCCCTAAACTCATATTGAATGACCTAAACAGCCCATAATTTCCCCAAATTGAACATCCAAAAACACGATAGTAGTACCTCTTATTAAAAAGTAGTAATCTTGCAAGTAAAGATACAAAGGAACGGAAAAAGACCACTCTTTGAACTCTGGTCCAAAATATGATGCGAATTTTATTTGAATTCTTCCTTCCTATTTTGGCTAATGCCCGTATGGAAGAATTGAGCTGCAATTATTTTCAACAGAACATTGAATCCAAACTGAAAGCCGCGTTGAATGTTACTCATTGTATATTTGCAAATTAATTAAATCCCCAAAGAAGAAAAATATGGAGTAGGAGACTACGGGTGGGATAGTTCCTATTCGGGTTTTGGGTGTTCGGGTTAGGGGCAGTTAACAGTTAACACCCAACAAAAAACGGGTCTTCTTGGTGCACCCATTTATTATCTCCGCCCACCCACAAGTTTTCATTTTCGGACGGATCAGTCCTGCCTATTGTTTACTCCAAAGGGATGAGTTAGCGAATTATATCCTGGGATCGGCGCACCATGAGGATGGTGTGCTCGATCCCAAAATGACGGAGCATGGTCTGGTTTTTTTTCTTTCTTTTTTTTTTGGTTTTTTTGTTAAAAATGGCAATAACTTTTTTATTTTTGATCCGATTTTTATAAATATTATATCAACATTTTTTATTTTTCACGATCTTTCAAATGACACCAATATTGCTTATGTAATTTTAACAAATTATGGAACTACATATTATATAAATGATTATTGGATTATAAGGAAAATCGAACTAAATTTAATACAAAAAAATAATTGTGTAAATCACAATTTATCTTAAAATTGTGTATATAAAATATCATTGAGTTACACGTGAGTTATATATTTTTATATGTGAAGTTACATATTTTTACACGTAAGTTACATATTTCTACACGCGAGTTACATTTGTATCAACATCAAGTTACATTTTGATTAACATGATTTACATTTTCGATTTCCCTGAATTAACTTTTTAATTAACGCATCTTACAATTTCGAAATTTCTCAAGTTACATTTTGGATACACTCGAGTTACATATCAATTTGATAAAAGTTACATCTTGTAACACGCGGTTTACATTTCGTATAAAAGGTGAGAGAACCACTAGAGGGTGTAATATGAGTTACATTCCAGGCAGCGAGTTACATTTGTAGTGAACTGAGATTACATTTTATAACAACACGAGTTACATTTCGATACATAGGATTTACATCACATAAAATATTGAGACAAAAATTAAATTACATATTTTTACACGTAAATGTTAATATGTTAAAATTACATAGGCAATATTGGTCTCATTTGAAAGATCATGAAAAATAAAAAAAATTGATATAAATTTTATAAAAATCGGATCAAAAATAAAAAAATTATTAACAATTTTAAGAAAAGGAGATATAAAAAACAACAAGGGTGCATGGTGCTCACCATGCACCGGTTCCACAGTATAACTACCGGATGAGTTATGCTGCACATAAGCCATTAAGTATGCTCCTCATTTTTTTTCTTTTTTTGTTAAAACAATTCTACTTAAATAAAACATTTTTGTATTAATTAATTTTATTGTTTTTAGAATACAATTATCCTCATTTGAAAAGTTAAAAATCCTATTTATTAATATTTCTATTCGTAAATAATGGTAATATGTTGAATTTTACATTATTCGCATACCTTACTTTGATTAAATTATACTCCATCTGTCACACAATTAAGTTTCTAGATGCATTTTGGGTCAAATTTAATAAACTTTACCGTTAATTATTCATAATTTACATTACACTATCATACAAAATTGATTTTATATATTTTATTGGAATATATATTATTCAAACATTAATTTATACTTCGTATTAGATTTTATAAATATGGATTTTTAGATACTTAGGATCAAACGTCCACCCTAAAAGACCGTAAAAGTCAAATCGGAAACTTAATTGAGGTAGAGAGGGAGTACTACTGATGGAGTATATTCTCATATACCCCAAGGGTATCATAATCGCTGACATTCAAATCTTGGATCCATCCCGGAGTGCATAAAGATACTAAGTCCACAACTGGGACCGACCCCGATCCCGACCACCAAGGTCGGGACAAAGCGCCATGCAACGAAACAAGCTAAGGATCGAAGACCAGCCGACCCCGACCTCGACCCCCCCGAGGTCGGGAAAATATCAAGGTCAGGAACCGCTCAAATACGACAAGTTATGAGCCCGACCTCGAATGCACCGAGCTCGGCACCAACTCTGACCTCGGGCGTCAACGTAAAGTCAACCCGAGTCAAACAAAGGAGTCAACGATCTCAAAGACTGAACCAAAGACAGAAGACATTTCCCTCAGCGATGAGCCCGAGACTCCAAATACTGACCTCAGTAAGCTCAGGGCTTGATTAAGGCATTATGGATAGACAAATATGTGAAGATAGATACTACAGAAGGGTTCTGCCACATCACCACTACCTATGAAGGAGGCCACGTCTCCTTCGGCAGCGGGCAGAAAGAATATTCCGAAGTATACATGTGTAAGCCAATGAGCATTCGGGTGGCAGTTTGTTAGGGGCAGTTCCAATCAGCCGGCTGTTCTAGATCATCTCTCCAATCACCTTTACATGTGGCTGCTCCCCATCGACTTAGACTGTTAGTTTGTTAGAATATATTGGATGTGTGTCCCCTTTTTATTGGTTCAACATCTTTTTTACTTGGGCACCAAGTATGCCTTCCTAGTATAAATATCACCTTCCAGCTTGTGGAAAGGGATCACAATTTGTATTCTCTTGTTGTTACTCTGCTAAAATATTTACATGAGCTTTCTGATCAGCTCTTCTCTCTTATTTTGCTCGGATTCCGGCTACATTTATTAATTATTAGAAAATTGTGTTTTTGAAAATCATTTTTCAATTTCTCTCACTGTAAATTTTAAAAATATGATTTTTTTAACTCTCTACTAATAGATAATGAAATATATTATTGGTCAAAAGTGTGCATTGGCAGATGTAATACTGGAAACGCTGTAACAATAAAAGAATGAGTGAAATATTAAACAAGTAGTATAATATTGTCTTACGTTGTCAAACACATAATTGATTTCATTCATTGTTGATTGTTTAATTTTTTTAATTGTTGACTGTTATTTATTGAGTGTTGGTGTAATAATTTGTTAATTTTGTCAGATGGAAAATTTCAATTATAATTAAATTTAATTAATTTCAAGGTGTAATAAAAATGATTGACCTGGATAGAATAAAGAAAAAAAGAAGAAAAAATTAGAGAAACTGATGCTAAGAAAATGGTTCAATGAAAAAGTTTTTTAAATAAGACTAAAACATTGATAAAATGCACAAATAGGAATATCAGTGTTTTCTTCCCAAATAAGGTTTATCAATATTATAATATTATTGAATTAGATAGAAGAGAGTTGCAACTTTTTATAAATGTTTTGAAATATTATTAATATTTGAATGGTTATTATTATTATTATTACGCATTTTAGTTTAAAGAAGAAAAGTTTAACAAGCCTTGCTATGAATCATAGCATGATACTCTATGACAGTTTATAGAAAACATTTGAACACCGCATGGCACCAACATTATGGTTCTAGAGTTAATATTGAGTTTGATTAAAGATTGGCAAGTATGGTCGGCTGTATGGGTGGTGTCACGTACGTGGGCAGTTCTAGGTTCCAAGGAACCATTTTAAGTTTTAAATTTATTTATAAGAATTGAAAAGGACAAAATGGTCTTACCAGGGTTACATAAAGTAATAGTAAGGGTGCGCCAAGCAATGCCCAACAAAAAATTACATTTGATAAAGAAAAAATGCTAGGTGTATACAGAAAATTCTGTCTGCGTAGAGAGACAGACAGTGTGTGAAAATGAGGTATAAAAAATGGGGTACACTTATCATTTCTGTTAGATAAATAAATTACATTTAAAATACCCTTACACATCCCGATAAAGTTGTTTGGTGCATATTTTGTCACACTTAGAGCATCTCCGTTAATGCTCCACAAATTTATGATTTTTATGTCTTGTTATTATCATGTGAAAAGTAATTTATCCTCAATCATGATCTTAATTTACTTAGATTTTTTATGAGACATACAATCAATTTCAAATCACTAACTTATTGCACACATTCACATGCACTCTGCATGCACACACTATTAAAAAAATACACTATATTACTATGTATACTATATTATACTATGTATATTACTACATTCGCTATATATATATATATATATATATATATATATATATATATATATATATATATATATATATATATATATATATATATATATATATATATATATATATATATATATATATATATATATATATATATATATATATATATATATATATATATATATATATATATATAGGATATGGACAATGTTCAAGTACGGTAAGCCTAAGAATTGTAATTCTTATGTCTCTTTCATTTGAGGTGCTTTTGGGTCGAATTTTTTGATGAAATTTTGTGAGCATGTTCTCCATGGATTGTAGATCATGTCCACTAAGTTTCATTATAAAATTCAATCGGGAAGTCAATTAAATAAATTATTGAAAAAACACTGCATTTATATATATAAAAACCTGCGCAATTTTGAAAAAAATATTTAACCGGTCGGTGTGCCCTACTATTAAAAAGATTCTGAATGCTAACATAATGTGAAGTTCAAAGTGGATGGTGGTATTCAATGGAGATGATGGGTTTGAGGTGACGAAAGGAAGTATCAATACAAGGTCAAGGTGGAGGGAGGCACATGCTCTTGCAGATCTTGGGAGTTGACTGGAATTTCATGCGAGCATGCTATATGTGTAATGTTTGATCACGGAAAGGATCCAGAAGGTTATATTGATGATTGTTACTCCATTGCTGCCTTCAAACAAACTTATTCCTACACTTTGGAACCAATCTATGGGGAAATGGCTTGGCCTATAGTTGAAGGGGAGAAAATACACCCCCTGCACCCAAAAATAATGACTGGACACCCAAAGAAAAAAAGAATCTGGGAGGAAACTGAGCCTCCAACAGGCAAGCTGTCAAGGGCAGGGTGATGACATGTTCCCTTTGTAAGGAAAAGGTGCATCAACAACACGTATGTCCAACAGCTGCACCAGGAAGTCATCAGTTGGTGAGGGGAGGCAGGGGTTCCAGAGGATGAAGAGGAGGAAGGGGTGGAAGAGTTGGACGAGGTCAAAGGGCTGGAAGAGGTGGAACAACTGAAACTA